CCCTGCCCAACTCAGCAGCTTGACCATCAAGGCAAGATGGCCACTCAGTACCAGCTCCCTCCTCTGGCTAGTATACTCTCTCAGTAAAGGGAGTTGAGCTCAGGGGTGATGAGGAAGGGCTGAGGATCCACAAGATTCTGAATCAAGCTGTTTGGGATGACAGACTCAACATACCAGGCTGGGTTGTAAAATGAGAGCAATAGCAGAACTCCCTGGATCATAATAAGGACTTAGTGAGGCACTTGGAGCATCTCACCCATGGTAAGCTAGATGTAACATCTCAGAATTACCTGGAGTATTACAGTGCCTCTATTGAGAGAGCAGGCTTGCCACAAATTTGTTGGTTCAAGTTCCATTCATTCAGAATATATGAGTGTTTCCAAAGCTGGGTTGGTAAGGTCATGAATAAAGTCAAGGAAAAGGGTTCTGGATCCCAGAGGCAGATTGAGACTTGATAAGGAAAACAAAATGGCTGACTAGAACCTGCTTGGGCTGGGGAGATATTAAATTGGGAAAGTACTTGCTGTGTAAACCTGAAGACCTGGTCTCTAAATCCACATTAAAAAACAAAACAAACAAACAAAAAAACAGGCATTGTCGAGTGTGTTATAATCCCACTGCTGGGAAGTTGGGGACAGACAATCCAATGGGCTAATGAGAAATCTCGTCTCAAAAGACAAGGTAGATGGACCAAAAAATGGCTCAGTGGGCAAACAATGCTGGTCACCACATCTGATAGCTTGAGTTTGACCTTCAGGAGGCACATGGTAGAAAAGAGAGAGAGAGCCAACTCTCTAAGTTATCATATAACTCTCCGAGTTGTATAAGAGAACCAAGTCTACAATAGAACCAACACTACAAGAGAACTAACTCTACAAGAGACCCAACTCTACAAATTGTATAATAGAACCAAGTCTACAAGAAAACCAAGTCTACAAGTGTACTGTTGAATTCACTCAACCATACAAAAGAAATATAATAAAAGAAGAAAATCAAAAGCTCCTGATAGACAATACCCACAGTTTCCCCCTGGCCTCCACATCTATTCCCGCAGATGCACACATACATTCTGACCCAGACAACAACAAAAGTCTTACTTTTCCTGACACAAACTGCCTGGGATTATATAAGGCCTTGCCAACTTTCTCCCTTTTAGCCTGTCCTAGAAAGTGCCAAAAGAAACTCCACAAAACCCCCATGAGTCAGCACACTCCTTCCTTCTCATTCTAAACCCACTTCCACCAGAGAAGAATGCTTAGCCAAGTTTCTTGATAGTGTAAGCCAGCATTGCCGAGGAGCTCCTGTTTTTTCCAATAGCTTCCTAAAAGCCTCCTGTTGGGGCCATAGCCACCACAGGTTCGTAGGACATTAGGCGAAAAAGTAAGACCATGGCACATGTCTCTATGGCAACCAAACACTCAAGGGCTGAGGAGCTCATCAAGAAACAAAAACAACCCAAAGCTTACATTTCCACTCCCAGAAAGCCTACTTATGGGAAGAAACTCCAAGGAAACAGCTCAGTAGAAGGAAAAAACTGAACGAAACATTTAATAACTCATAAGCCAGAAGGAGCTGAATACCATAGACTGTGGAGTAACTAAGAGGGGTTATGATGTGAGTACTGGTGCAATTATAGCTGCTAAATAAGAGGATGCACCATGATTATATTCTGGTCACAACTATAAAGTGTACAGATTTGGATAAAAACTGAAGGGGAACACCAAAGTGGAGACAGACGCACTACAAGTCTAAAGCAATAGGTTTATTCTGTCTTTAACTTGGTCTTTGTGGTTCTCATTACTAAAAATAAACACAGCTATTCATCAAGGCCTGGGTGAATGTGCAAGTCTATGCATGGGAATCCCTCATCATGCCCATACCTAGAGAGACAAAGGTCTGCCTTAGTCTTGGTGGAATGCCTTGTATGTAGCTTCCTAAACACAAAGGAGGTGAGAGGGAGCTTGCTTCCATCCTCTCATTTTTACAGAGATATGAGGCCTTCTGGCCAATGACCAGAATAGAGTGTCCACTGACCTCCTTGGCCACAGTGTGAGATTGTTCCTCAGTGTCCTCCAAGTTCTTCTGCATGTGTCATTCCTTCAACGTTAGGATAAGGACCCAGCAAGGTGGCACATATGACATACTCTTTTCAGTTTAGTCTGTTTTCTATGCTATCACTAAATAGCACAGTCTGAGTAGTTATAAAGAATAAAAGGTTATTCAGTTCACAGTTCTAAATGTCCCAGGTGGAAAGGCAACATCTGCTAAAGGGTTGCCTTCTTGCTAAAGGGGACTTTGCTGAGGCCAAAGGTAATAAAGGCACCTAAGAATGATAGAGGTCTGCCATCTTACTATAAAGCAATTGGGGAGCTCCAGCCTCAAAACCCAAATTTTGTCAACAATGACTCTGGCCTTAGAGGAAAAAGGCCCTCAAGCCAAAATATAATGAAAGTTATATTCAAAACATAAAAGAGCCCCGGTTCCACCTTAGTCCATAAGTGTCTGTGTTCTACCATTTGAGGCAGTCTAAATAGTTCATTAAGGAATAGATGCTCTTCGCACAATCACAGGTAAAAATGGTTGATGCATCTACACAGGACTGAATGTCTGTGTTTCCCTAATATTCTTATGATGAGATGCCAAGCTCCAAAGTGTTCATACTAAAGGTCAGGTATTGGGAGACAGTCTTGTGAAATAGGCCAGGGCTCTAGGACCACTCAGAGAAGTCCCTTTCTGAGAGCTTCCATCCCCCTTCTGTGAGGATTTCAGAAAGACCATCTATGAACCAGGAAGCAGGCCCCCTCAAACACTAACTCTGCCGGTGCTGTCCAGGGCCTCCCTGTGAACAGCCAGGCAGCTGTTCACCAGCCACTTGGTCCATGGCACTTTGTTACGGCGGGTCCCATAATCACCAGTAGGCTTCCACCTGCCAACAGCTTTCCCAGTTCAAACGACTGCCTGAGATTTTTGTTTTTAAAGGAAAAAAAAGTCTCTCCTTGGTACATCTTTCCTTTCTCCTGGTAAACAGAGCAAATATTAAGAACTGTTAATCTTCCCAGAGAGGAGCATACTAATTGGCAAATGTCAGTCCTCAAAACAAACATACAAGCAACTTCCTCCAGGCTGCAGAAGGCTGTATTTAGAAATACACTCTCACACCCACACACCTAGGTAACAACATTTAGTGAAAAAAAAAGACATCAATTTGAAAGAAGGCAAGGAGGAGTATATTGAAGTATTTGGCGGAAATTATTTGGAGGAAAGGAAAAATGATTTAATTATATTATAACCTCAAAAATAAAAGAAAAACAGTTGTAAGAGCCAAAGATCAAAGATAATTTTTATTTTGCACACATTGCTCAGGTTATCCTTGAACTTGCTATGCAGCAAAGGGGACCCTGACCTCTGGCTCTGCATGTTAGGTTTACGGCTGTTCACCATCATGCTTGATTTATTTGGTACTGGGAATTGAACCCAGGACTTCAATACATGCTAGGCAAGTACTCTAACATTTAGGCTATATTCTTCCTTCCCTCCCTCCCCCTTTTTTTCCCTCTCCATCATGCTTTAACTTGAAGCATGTACTAATCTTCATCTCTGCTTAATAAATTCACTAACTTTACTTCACATTGATCCATCTTAAATTTCCTTTTATGTGGTCAAGGCCCTGGCTTTATCTGAGTGGGAAGTCCCTAGGGCTGTGGCTGCAGTCCTGGGCTGTGTCTCCCTGCCACCAATGACATTTCAAAAAGTATTTTATGATTTCATTTTTTTCTGCATGTATGGGTGTTTGCCTGCATGTACGTCTATGCACCATGTACACTCCTGGTCCCTATGGAGGCCAGAGGAGGCGTCAGATTCCCTGGAGCTGGAGTTGCAGACAGTTGTGAGCCACTGTAGGTGTTGGGGAAGAAACCCACGTCCTTCTCTGAAAGTAGCCACTGGGTTACTATAAGCCATCTCTTCAGCCCCACCAATGAAACTCTGCCTAACATATATATCTCATATATATGCTATCTACATGCTGTTCCTTACTTTTCTCTGACACTTATGTTATGCTCTCATCATTCACATGCAAAGATGGTGACACATCAGTGTCTTGCCACCGTCCACTTCAACAGAGTTGGCTCACTTTGCCAAACTGCCCGGAACCAATGATCACACTCACGGAGTAGAATATATGCACAGATAAGGCTGAGTTGACAGGAAGGCTCCTTATGGGAATTAAGACAGAGTGACAGAAAGTGTTTTTTGTGTGGCATTATGACCCAGTAAAGAGATGACTTCTTCCCTCCCTCCTTCTTTCCCTCCCTCTCCACCTCCCCCCACCTCTGAGTCAAGGTTTCTCTGTGTAGCCCTGGCTGTCTTAGAACTCACTCTGTAGACCAGACTGGCTGAACTGAGATCCACCCCCCTCCCGCCACCCCAAGTGCTGAATTCTGGGATTATATGTGCCACCAGGGCTCAAGCTAAGAGATAACTTTCAAAACAGGAAGGAAGGGCAGAAAAAAGGGAGGAAGGAGAGAGGAACTTTTACAAAACCTCCTCTATATTATTCTTCAGCAGAGACCATCAACATAATCCACAACTGAGTCAGACATGCAAACATCATGTCTGACAGACTCCACAATGAGCAGCTGCCATCAGTTCAACCCATCAACTCACACTAGGAATAGTAACTGATTATCGGTCTCTACTTGTGTGGCCCCCAAAGTAGGGGAGATAACGGACAGGGCACTGAGCATCTCTTCCCTAATGTTGTTAAGGATGACTTTGAAACCACTCAACTTACCATGATTCTCTTAAGTATTTAGAGATAAGTCACCTCACCTCATTAGCCTTTGCTGGGGGTTAAGCACGCTTGCTCTAACCGATACTCCAGCTGGAGTGTGACTCCACGGTAGCGCAACTGTCTAGGATGTAGGAAGCGTGAGGCTCCATCCCTGCAGCCTTCCTTCTCGGTTCGGTCCCTCTTTCCACCCCCAGTGCTGCACACTTACTGCAGGCTGCACAGGTGAAGCATGCATCGTGGTAGAGGTCCCCCATGGCCTGACAGGCCTGGCCAGCTCCAAACACCCCTTTGCTGCACTTCACACAGGCTCCTAAAAGGCAAGAAAACACCACAAGTCAGGAGAGAACTGGGATTAAAAAGTCATGAAAATGCCAATGAGCAAAGCAGAACACCCTCCCATACCACAATACCACATCTACAAATTTTTCAGTCTCAGTCCTTACAAGTGAAAAAACAGCTACCATCAATACCCCACATACACACACACTGACCCCACACCTGCCCAGAGCTTTCAAAGGCTCCCACGATTCAGAAAACCAAATCCTAACCAAACTATGACTATAACATAGCTGAGAGGATCTAATCTCAAAAGTATCTGAATATGCGTAAACATATTGAGACAAGGTCTTACTCTGTAACCCAGCCTTGCCTAGAACTGTTTATATAACTCACAATGGCATGTATATGTCATATATATATGTATGTATATATATATATATATATACACACACAAATATATAACAATTCTCCTACCTCAGTCTCCTGAGTGCTAGGATTACAGGTATGTGTCAGCATGCTTGGCTAGAATTTTAATTTTATATAAATTATTTGTATATGTTTTGGAGATTTTCTGTACTCAAGCAAGTAACCAACTTATTGCATTGTTTCAGAGTTCCTATTTTTTCTTATTAATTGATTGATTGATGATTTGTTGAGATAAAGTCTCTCTATGTAGCCCCTGGCTATCCTGGAACTTGCTATGTAGACCAGGCTGACCTTGAATTTAGAGATCTTGAAGAACTTGAAGAGATCCACTTGCCTCTGCCTCAGAGTTCCTTTTTTTTAACCCCTTCTCAAGACAGGGTCTTTCTATGTAGCGCATTGTCCTGGAACTCACTATGTGGACCAGGTTGGTCTTGAATTCATAGAAATCTGCCTGCCTCTAATTCATACATGCTGGGATAAAAAGCATGTGCCACTCTGCCCAGCCACAGCTGATTTTAAATTGGCAAAGCAATCACCACTAAGAAGGTCTTAGGTACTACACTCTTTATAAAATGTCCCCAAGTCAACCACGCAGGCAAAGACAAACACACATACACACCCTGCACATTACATGCACCTGCCAGCCGACACCCGAGAGGCGAACGCCTCTCCTTAAGGCTCGGGGAGAAAGGCCAGAGAGCCATCAAGCCTTGCCATAAGGATTAGGGCAAAGATGGATGGCATCTCCAAAAGGAACCTCATGGCCACCAGCCTCCCAGGACTACCCAGGGAACAAGCCTTCCCCACTCTCTGAATCCTGCCAATGTTCTCTCCTAGTTCTTCCTTATCTGAGGCCTGTTACCTACTGCCTCCAGCCTCCTGTCTCCCTTTCAGATCTTGAATTCATTTCCTTGGGCTGCAAGCATTGTTCCTTACCATGTGGACAGCCAAGCACAGACAAAAAGCAAGTAGGAAAGCTCCATGTTCAAACTGTTGCTCATGGAGTAAGGAACATTGCATGAGAAGCTGTATCAGCAGGACAGATGTTTGGTGTGGGTGCTGAGTGGTAAATGGATAGAAAAGTTCCTCTTGGAGAGAAAAGGTAGGAGGAAAAAAAGTGAGCCATAGCTCATCTCTGGGAAACATGTGCCTATCATGCAGACCTTCATAAAAGAGGCCCTACTGTCTTCCCGCCCCCTGCAAGCCAAAGTCTGGAAAAGTTATACTACTAGTAGGTCTGCAAGACAACAAATGGGCCCATCTTGTCTCTGTGCGACCTTCCCATTTTGTCTTGTTGCCCCCCATGCCCACACCTCAGCCACATGTTCCCTCCCATAAAAATGTATCCTTCTGCAAATGATTGCAGTCCTGTGCCCTGTCCCTTCGCCCGGTAGTCTAGACAGCACTTGTTCAATATAAACACTTCTCTATCACTTGGAGTCAGGCTTTCCAGATGCTGCAATGGGATGAAGAGCAAAGGTGACTGGATTCAGCCTACCCTGGGGGAAACTGTTCTCCCACAGTGGGCAAAGGGGCTCCCCAACCTTACTGGGTCCTGCATGAGGTCTTACAAAGTGGCCTCAATCCACTCAATCCAAGAGGAAAAGAAAAAGCTGTTGACTTTCTTCAGACACAATCCTGAGGCCACAAGATTTGAACAAATACCCCAAAAGAAAGAAAATGTCAACAGCTATCACTGAGTCAAGAGGAAAATAAGTGAGGCATAAAGAGAGGGAAAAATGGGTGCTTCCCCCCTCCCGCAAACTAGCTGCCCTTTAATCCATTCACCAAACTGAGAGACTGGTTAATTTACTAATGTATTCTTGCTTTTTGAGACAAAATCTCACTCTACAGCCTGAGCTAACCTCAAGCTCTTAGCAAAACTCCTGTCAGCCTCCTGAGTGCGAGGTGTGCAGGTGTGTAAGAACAGCTTTTGTGAGGTGCGACATTCAGCGAATTGTCTACACATTTATTCTGTATGTGTGCATTTGTGTTTATGTGTGTGCAGAGCATGGTTCGCATTTGGAAGTCAGAAAAGAACTTTGGAAGTCTGTTCTCTACCTTCATCATGTGAGTTTTAGGGACAGAGTGTTAGGTCAGCAGACTTAGCAGTACCTGCTGTTACTCACTGAGCATCTTGCCACCTAGTCATCTACATTTAAAGGTATGAACTGATATATGTCGACAATGATAAACACCTACATAATCCGCACAACGAAAAAAGCAAGAATACCAGCTACCCTAGCAAATCCCACGTCCTACTTTTCCTTTGTAATCCACTCTCGCATTCCCTTCCACGGATCTGTTTATTATCACGGATCTGTTTATTATCATCACAGATTAGTTTATGTCATGAGTTTATATAAGCAGACCTGGACTATACCTCTTTATCTGGCTTCTGTCACAGCATAATTATTTTGGGATTTACTCTTGTCCTGGTGGATATCAATAGTTTGTTCCTATTTTTGAGTATTCACAGTAGAAACAGACTACACTGCAATTGCCCACTCATCCAATCATAAAGATGTTTCCACTTGAGGGCTCTAACGCACTGCCGTTATCAATGTCTGCGTATGAATTTCTGCATAGACATACACTTCTTTTTTCCTGGAGTAAAGTCCTAGAAGTGGAATGGGTGGGTATCACAGCTGGTGTATGGTTAACTTCCTATGAAGCTATCCAACCATTTCTTTTTTTTAAACAAACAAACCAGGATCTCAGCTAAGCAGTAGTGGAGTAACCCTTTCCCATCACTTGGGAGGCAGAGACAGGTGGATCTCTGAGTTCAAGGCCAGCCTTGTCTACAGAGCGAGTGAGTTCCAGGCCAGCCAAGGCTATACAGAGAAACCCTGTCTCAAAAACAAACAAAACAAAACAAAAAACTCACAAGGTCTCGCATGACCCAGGCAAGCCTCAAACTGTCCAAATACCCAAGAATAACTTTGACTCTTCGGACCTCCTGCTTCCACTGTCCAGGTGTTGTGCCCAGATCTTAAGGTCCCCAAGGACCACCAGGAGCTGAACCACGTATGCAAGAGCAAAGAGCTTTATTCAGGCTTAAGCTCAGTCTCCCCTTCGTCACCAATGCAGTAGATCAGAGAGGAGAGCCCTGAGCAGCTACATGGCAGGGTTTTTATTTGGGGGTTGAGCAAGAACCCAGAATTCCCAGCTTCGCAGTCACACAATTGGATGATATTCAGCAAGAGCAGGCTTGTTATAAAGTGATTGCCAACTAACATAACTAACACTGAGCAAGGTATCTATAGACCTCAGGAATGTTAGGTTGGTGGGCTGCCCAGCACAGATGCCTACCCTGAGAAAAGATACCTTCCCATTCTGTGGTTACCTCCAGGCTATTCCTTAGGTAGGGAATTTTATGGCTTTCTTATTCCTGGAATTGGTGACCTATGGCCTAGTTCTTGAGACTGATGACTTTTGGGGGGAAGGGTCAAGCCTGGTCCTTTCACCATCACATACTGAGAATACACATGTGTGCTGGGGATGGAACCCAGGGCTTCTCAGGACATCCTCCATGCTAGGCAAGTACTCCATCAAATGCCCTACTGTCTTCTGAAGAAGGAAGGTCATCTGACATTCCACCAGCAGTTTAGGAGACTTAGTTTCTCCACATACATGCCAGCACTTGGCACAGTTAACTTGTAATGCTACCTGTTCTAACAGGAGTATGGTGGAACCTCACTGTGGCCTCAGCTGCATTTTTCTAGCAACTACTGTTGTGCCCGAGTCTCAGGAAAACCTTTGGTTCCTATGCTTTCTTTCTTTCTTTCTTTCTTTCTTTCTTTCTTTCTTTCTTCCTTTCTTTCTTTCTTTCTTTCTTTCTTTCTTTCTTTCTTTCTTTCTTTCTATTTTGAGCTGTTTTAGGCCAAAGATCAATCCAGTCTGATGTTCCAGTCTCTGCTGGGCTGCATGCAGGCTGTACAGTATGCTCCACATTCCCAGCTTTGAGAGCTGTCACCCATGATGAGGTGGGCTTTGGTGATGTAGCTGTCTCTGAGTCATTTCTCTGGAACTTAAGTTACAGAAAATGCAACGCCCTCTTCTGGCCTCCTGGTTATTGTATGCATGCCAATACACATAAAATAAATAATTGCATTACTGGGGCTGGAAAGATAGCTCAGCAGTTAAGAGCACTATACTGCTCTTGCAGAAGACCTGGGTATGGCTTCCAGTACCCACAGAGCAGCTCACATCCATCTGTAACTCCAGTTCCAAAGGACCTAATACCTATTCTGAACTCCTTGGACTCTTGCATACATGTGGTATACAAACATTAAGCACATATGCAGAAAGTAAAATAAGTATTTCTTAAATACTTAATGGACAAAAGGTTATAGATATGGTTTATGGTAGGGAGCCTTTTCAGCCCCTGCAAGCAGTTCCAGGAAGAATAACAAAAAGCTAGTCACACAGGGGAACAGATCAAATGCAGATTCAACCCAGCCTCCTCTTCAACATTCTTTGGGAAAGCAGTTGCTTCAAATTGATATTATCTCCCACACTCCCAGAGCCGAAAAAACAAATTCAATTTCTGGCCCTGGCATCTTCCCTATTCTGTGTAAAGGTGAAAGTTACCAGGAAGAAGTT